TTGTTAGGGACAGACCTTCTGGTGCCCACCGGACAAAGAGGCACAGACTCTGAAGCTGCAATCACACAAAAGGAGCTTTATTTCTGGCTAGCCAGGGTCTGAGCCCAGAGTGCCAACGCAGTGGACACCCTAAGGCTGAGGGACCCCGAGCGAAGCAGAGTGTGCATTTTTATCCCCCCTTCCACCCCCCAAATTGATCACGCGCGGCCCCTGTTCCCCTCCTTTATGCTATATTTTGCAAACCTTAATTGTACGTTGCGCCTTGCAACGGACGATTCTCAGAAGCGCAGCAAGCAAGCATTTCCCAGAAGCAGAAGTGTGCGGTTAGCCGACTGTCTCTCGCCCCTCTGCCACCCTTGTGCTAACTTTCTGCTATCTTGGGTTAACACCCCGGGTGGGTTTTGCAAGTCAGCAGAAGATACTGCCAACTCTGCAGCCCCCTGTATTCCTCAGAAATGTTGCGTTGCCCAAATTTTCTGTCCCCTACACTATAAGTAAGTAAAGATTCATAGGTTAATCAAAATTTAATTTTCTTCTCAGAAACTGATCTTCAGATTTTAAGGCTTTAAAACTAAAAGCACAATTTCTAGAGATTAAGGGAATATTTTTTCTTTTTATTTTATTTGGAAAGAAGATAGATCATGTCTGTCTACTCTGAAAAATAAAATGTAGCATTGAGACTGATGTTTGAGGGACAAATGGAACTTTGCTCATCAGATCCAGAAGCCACACCAATTTGTTTCACTTTATTCAGCCTTAAATATTTTATTCTACCTATTTATTTATCTATTCACATCCCACAGAACAATGCCAAATGGAGTGAGTCAAGGCCCAGAAGCAGCATCAATTCAATTGTCTGTAGAATTAAGAGAGAAATATTATTTTCTTTTAATTGAAATGTTATATATGTGTCCTCACAAAGAATAATCACCCGATAGGAACCACGGTCCTAGTCAGGGCGATATTTTATAAATATCGCTCAGCAACAAGACTCCACCAATTCATTTTGGGACCCTGGTTCTCACTCCAACCCACAGTTAGCATCTTCCACTTCATTCCATGCCCTTCTTGGCTCCATCCTTTATTATTTCTTTCTGTAGAGGAACAGAATGAAATAACATAAAAATAAGATTGTAAAGATGAAGTGAGGCAGATAATAGAAGAAATATTATTTTTACCCAGTTATTTTAAAAATAGGGCAAATTATTTTTAAAGTTTAAATCAGAAAAAAGCAAGACAGAGACAGAGAGAGACACAGCCGAAGCTAAGAAACAGCATGTGGGGGGATAGTAATTTGCACTTCCAGAATTGATCCAGTATTCTGCTCATAATACTGATTTAAAATTCTGACTTCATCATTTATTAAATAATAAACTTTACACTAAGTTTTCAAAGATAGATGGCTCAATTTCTGGGCAGGTTCTTCTGTCCCTTGGAATTCTTTATTACTCAGCCCTTACCAAAATTTTTACAAACTGGAGCCTTAAGAAATGTTCTGTTATCCAGTGAATCTAGTCTTCCATCTCTATGCTTCTCACATTTTCTAAGAACCAAAGGCTATTCAACACAGGCACACAACCATGTACATTTTAGAATTGGCTTATCAATTTATGTGGAATTGGCTATGGTAACATTTTGTGCTCCTGTGTTGGTCTTAAGCCATCTGTGACGAGGGACATGCCTTGCATGAGTGGAACCACTATTCTTTATCTTCAGTCTCATCTTTCATCTATCCTCCCTCCTGGTGGTGTGTGGAAAAGAGATTTGATATGAACAAGAAAGAATTATTCACATTTTCCCGTATACTTTGTTCATCAGATTTGTGTCTTAGATCATTAGTAAGAGAGTATCTTTAAGAGTCATTGTAAGACAATAGTCAGGGGAAGCCCAGGGGTAGCCCAGTGGATGCAAGAGAACATCAGTGGGAGAGGCCAGTCAGCACTGCAGAGGAATGGCCTTGAAAGCCCTTAAAAGAGATAATAACAGCCACACTGGAGGCTGAGGGACAGTGCTTTGTTCTATGACGCATGGCTAGTGCATGATCAAGCTGGGATTGCTAGCTTTTTACTAGCACAAATTGAACAATTTCTTTTGTTTTTAATTAAGTTTTTCTTATGAGTAACTTTAGATTAACAGGAAACTTGCTAAGATAGTATGGAGAGTTTCTGTATACTACTCACTTAGTTTCCCTTACTATTACCATCTAATATCACCATGGGTATGTTTGTCAAGACTATTAAATGAACATTGATATATTACTCTTCACCTAATATCAGATTTTATTAACATTTCACTAATTTGCCCACTACTGTTATTGTTTTTGTTCCAGGATTCAATCAGGGACAACACATTACATTTAGGGCAATTGTGTTTTAAATGGTTTAAAATCATAAATCTTGTGATCATAAACCATGAGGACACTACTGTCTCCACTGTTAAATTTTTAGCACTAATTAAAAAAATCCCTTTCATCTGAAAAAAGAAAGGGTTATTTTGTTTATAGCTAATGAATATTTTAATTCTAAATGGTTTTGCTATTATAATACCCTGGATAAAGGAAGTGGAGCAATTAAGAAGCATTTAGTTATTTGATTAATATAGAACCTTGTTCTACTTTCCACCACCCACCCAATTAGGTTTTGTGCAATGAAGCTATCTGAAATAGGAGTGGATGCTTGTGGGTCTGAGGGCCACAGGAATTTATTCAGGGACGACTACAGATGTTTAAAAATGTTGTACATTGAAAAAATATCACTTCTTTACTGAGATTGGTGATATAACATATTTTACACATGTAAATTAAAATAGTGAGTAAAAAGCATGTCGGTCATGGCAAAGCAGAGCTTACGAGTGAAGATGCTATTCTCTCTTCTCTGTGTCAATGGCTCTGGGAGGTTGTTCTCACCACTCATCATGAGCTTCTGTGATTTTTACTGCATCAATGTTTTTGAGTGTGTTGCCTTATCTGATTCTCACAAGAACCCTATCTATAGACATTCTTATACCCATTTATAGAAGTGGCAGCTGTGGCTTTGAGAATTTGGAGTATTTTCACTAACATATTTCTCCGCAGTAGAAGATCCTGGATTTGAACCCAGGTCTATGTAAGTTTGGAGCTGATGTTCTTACTCATTTCACTTCATTGTCTTTCCTCCTTTGGTTTTAGGCTAAGCTGTGTACTACTCGGTCATATGTTGATATTTTTTGCTTTGTAATAAGTAGGTGTTCACTCCTTCAAAGACCTTAATATGATTTGTTTGAACTCTTGTTTTCCTGGCAACAAATTATAACTGGATATGGGGATCACAGTGCAGACACCAGCAGTAATGACCCTGGGAACATTATGGAAGTGGTTATTTTAAAGCCAAAAGACAAATATTAATGCACACAATTGTATATTTGTTAGTTATTTGTTAGTTTATTAACATTTGATGCTTTCCGTTAACTATAAGTGGCATTTATAAAATCAGCTTGTTTGCAAGTCTCCCAATAAATCTTATTTTTCCTTTTATTGAACTATTTTTTCAATAGTTCAATATGAACGCATGAAGGCACATACATGTGCTATTTGATGATGCATTTCAGCTATACATATAGGTGAGGATACAATTACCTGTGAAGCTGTGTCTACATGTGGAAAATGAAGTCAAAAGTTGGATAATATCTGGATGACTGATTCCTTCTGTGTGTAAGGTGAATGGCTTTGTATCTGAGTTACTAGTAACTACAACTGATTAGGGCGTGTTGTCATAAGCAACATTTTCACATTTTCAAATTTGACCCTCACTGTAAGCCTGATGAGCAGGTAAGCTTTTAATAATACTCTCTTCTCTGCTTTACAATAATATAAAATTAATTTGAAACATTTATATCCTTAGAGGTTATACTTGATCAGACCTGACCACATGGTGTAAATAATTAATAAAGCCTGAATACTCTGTCTTATCAGCATCTTGCTTCTCTTCTTTGCCTATGTGGTGGCTGCTAGTTTGTACATGTAAGTGCTTGTAGAAAGGTCAACCCTGCTCTGAAAATCTTGCTGAAAAGAAAAATCCCACTAGTTTCCCTGTGATCCAGTGGGTGCTGGAGCCAGAGATTGCGTGTTTAAACCCCAGGTCAAGCATCTGTTGTTTGCTTCAACTTAGCCTCTTTGAGCACGAGTTTCCCACCAATAAATCAGGGACAATAGGACGATCACAGACTGTGCTCTAGGCAGTGAGTCCTGAGTCCACCTTAATTCACTTAGTCACCATGTCGACATCCATGTATTGGCATTGTTATTTTTATGAATTTCTGTTCTCATTTTAAAATGACATATTAGAAAAAGCTCAACATTTAGTGCATACTTGTTATGCATTAAGTGTAGAGCTAGGCATTTTCTATAGATCATTCTCTTTTATAAATAATGAATAAAAAATAAATTAATTTGTTTAAAGGTCCAATTCAACTTAGAATTTTACAGACATATTTGAGGAGGCTTTTAAACTACATGCTATTTCTTCTTCTATTTGAATATAAGGCAGTCTCCAGACTAGGATATCATGCTGGTCACTCCTGCTCCCTTTCCATGCCAATGGCAGGCATCACTAATAAATTGCAGTCCTCTTAACCTTATAACTTTCAGGTGGCTTCAGATGCTTCTCAATAACTTCAGGAAGCCACTAGTAAACGGTCAGAGCTGGCACTTGAGATAAAACTATTTCTCTTCTCTACCACATGTTGATGCTTTCCTTCCCACATATTGAAACCTGGCTTATTTAAAGCATTCTGTAATTTATCTCTACCACAATGCTGCCTGACTTTTCAATAGTACCTTCAACAATTCCTAATTTTGTGTTCTCTATGACAATGGAAGCACTCAAGATAATTTTGTATGTGGATGCGCCAACTCATTGATGACTATAATACAATAAATTGGCCTGAAGCAAATTTTTCTTTACCATCATTGCACATTCTATATGCTGATCACTGTTGGAGTTGTCATCTTTTCCTTTGAAATCATGCAAAACCAAAGCTCTGTAACTGAGTTCATCCTTCTGGGGCTTTCACAGAATCCCAACGTTCAGAAAATAGTGTTCGTCGTAGTTTTGTTTGTTTATACCTTTGGGGGCAACACACTAATTGTAGTAACCATTCTCAGCAACCCTGCACTACTGGGATTCCCCATGTACTTCTTGGCTTTCCTATCCCTCCTAGATGAATGCTTCTCCCCTGTCATGACCCCAAAGATGACTGTGGACTTCCTCTATGAGAGGAAAGTCATATCCTTTGAAGGCTGCATGTTGCAGTTTTTTGCTGAACACTTCTTCGCTGGGGCAGAGGCGATAGTCCTCACAGCCATGGCCTATGATCAGTGTGTGGCCATTTGCAAGCCTTTGCATTACTCTTCCATCATGAATGGGAAGCTCTGTGGCATTCTGATGGGAGTAGCGTGGACAGGGGGCTTCTCGCATTCCATGATACAAATTTTCTTTACTTTCCAGTTGCCCTTTTGTGGTCTCAATGTCATTGATCACTTCATGTGTGACTTGTGTCCATTACTAGCACTTGCCTGCACTGACACTCACGCCTTTGGCCTCTTGGTGGTTGTCAACAGTGGGTTCTTCTGCATCATAATCTTCTCCTTGTTGCTTGTCTCCTATGCTGTCATCTTGTTCTCTCTGAGAACTCATAATTCTGAAGGGCGGAGAAAAGCTCTGTCTACCTGTGGATCTCACATCGCTGTTGTGGTTTTGTTCTTTGTCCCGTGCATATATGTATACACACGACCTCCATCTGCTTTATTCTCTGACAAAATGGTGGCAATAATTTACACCATCCTGACTCCCTTGATCAATTTTCTGATTTATACTTTCAGGAATAAGGAAGTGAAAAATGCCACGAGGAAAGTATGGAACAGATTGGTGGTGGTTTCTGATGGAAAACAAAGTATTAAACTTCTTTTTTAAATAAAAGGAGTAAAAAAATGAAAACAGTCTTAGACAAAATCTTTATGGAATATACTTTATACAGAAAGAGGTAATATAATGTTATGTAAAATAAAATTAATGTGGGGTCAGAAAATGATGTTTTCACCTGCAGATCACTAAGCAACTCTGAATTCACAACTCAGCATCCTCATGTGTAAATTCAAAACAGTTGAATTTTATTCTTACTTAGAATCTGATGATCAAAAAAGAATAATACTGGAAATTACCCTATCAGCGTGCTTACCATTCACTTCATGCTTTGAAAAACCTTTTCAAAGGAAGAAAAAATATCTTAGAGATTAGGGACGGGAATTTGTCTAAACTATGTCAAATGAAAAGAAGTTTATATTTAGGACACTGATATCAGTGCCTCTGAGGAAGACACAACCAAGACTCAAGAAAGAAGAAGCCAGAGCATTTATTGATAGAACCTCAACCCTTGGTGTTTCTGTATCACATAACTCCACCATTTAATGTGAGTTCATTACCAACTGCTACAGAATTTGAGTCACTTGGTCAATTTCCTGAGAGATAAAACATAATTGGCCCAGTCCTGCCAATAGATGAGTTTCTCCTGGGTCAGGTAAACACCTCATGCCAATCAGTTATAGGAGAGGAAGAGGGAACAGATTCCACAAGGATGTTAGCAATGAGTATTTCTTATTCAAGTACAATTTAAGGGAACACTTGAATGAGGAAGTTACTAGCAAACCGGTACCGAAGCTGTAGATGTAGTGAGCTGACTTCCCCCTACAGAGGAATAGAAGTCAGAGGGATCAGAGAGCAAAAAGCAGATTTCAAAAGAGGATTGCTGTTCATTTTATCTGGTGATTTGAGTTGTTTTTGACTTTGTCTATGCAGTGAAAATCATTCTACTTGAAGAATTATCAATAAAGAGATCATTCAAATAAAGACACATCCTATAAGTAATTCCCATAGTTAAGGTTAGTTATTCTCAGGTTGGCAAGTGGCTCCTATTATAAATTTATTTATAGTAATATATTTCAATTTCTTCTAGCACACTAATACTGACGTGGCCAATTACAGGACAGGGGATGACACAGAACATAAAATAATGACCCAGACACACATGGACATGACAATGACTCGAGTGATCAATGCACCAGTCACTTTATTTTTATACCCCCAGACCCAAGGTTAGTTCATTGTATGTGAGCATCTGAGCATAGCAGCGATATCAGTCAATTTCGGAGTTGTTTCAAAAGGGAACAATTTCCCATGGTCTCAGACCTCAAAACAGTTACTAAAGTTAAGGTGCCAGGCAGAGCTCAAAAGCCAAGGCCAAGATAGGCAACATAAAACAATGCAGCCATTTGAAGTGCTTCTTGGTCTCAATCCCAGGCGGCGGCTCCTTCCTGGCCCCCACGGTTGTGCCTGTTTTAGGTCATCCCCCCCTCCATGGGGAGTCTTACCCGTCATTGACTACCAACCATCAATTGGGGGCCAGTTCTTGGGAGAGTTCTTGTTCTTGTTCTCATGGCCTCCAGACTCCCACCATGGAGGCCCTCCATGTGGGAGTTGGGAGCGTTTGCTTATGTGCAACACTCAGGCCTCTTATCAAGTCACAAGGCAGCAACCGTGTCTGAAGAAAATGCTGACTACCACTGCGTCAGGCAGCACCTGTACATTACAGGCTGTAGTGAATGATTAGTATAAGGCACAACATCAGAATCAGCCCCCAACAAATACAATGCCTGTTAATTGAGTTTGTGGACATACTAAATGATATTTTTCTTGGCCTCAAATGGAATAGTATATGATATTGGTTTTCTTCTCAGAATAGATATGGCAGAATACAGGTAAGATTTTGGTGACCTCACATGAGAAGTCCATGAGGGATTATGGCTGGAGTCTAAAACATTATCTGAATAAATATGTGTGAACTGTAGCAGACCAAGTGTGTAACAAAGGCTTGGACATGCTGGGGAGCTTTTTCCGCTTCCTTCCCCGGCTTGTCCATCATCTGTCTGTAGTTATAGAAAGGGCAGCTTCTTAATGTCTTTTTTCCCATCACGTAGAGATTCTTATTGTTAAGTAGTTCCTTTATCCCTGAAAGCTAGAGATGGATGATCTGGTATCATTGGCCTAATTAATTTATAAATCTGTGAATACAAGGTTTGACATACTATAGAATAAAACATTCTTCTGGCCATAGTGTAGTGACCCACAGAGATTCATGCCTGATCCATAGAATATTCAAATTCAAACGTATTTTTAGTATTTGATTTCTCAACTTCTCATTGTGGATCCTGGTAATAATATATGAGGAGAAAATAAAACATAGTATTTAGCTGAGGAAAAACAAATACTGAAAAAGGTATTCCCAACCTTTTTCATTCCAAGTAGCACATATATAGAAATTTGCAAAATTCTCCCAATGGCAGTTATGGCTTCAGCTTTCCATTTTATTTTCTGTGTTGATTTTACCTAGGCATGGTGAAATTCATTCCTATGTTTTGAGCTCCAAGGCAATCCAACTGTTTTGCTAACACTAAGTGAACTTACTGTACTTACTATAATGATTAAAAAGATTCTCAGAAACACATTGCCAATTTAAAAAGTGGGATTTAAAAAAAATGCCCCTGATATCTGAAAGAAGACAATACAGAAGTGATTTCTAACTTAAGGAATGACATGATTCAGAAATGAGATGATGTTAAATCATAGGTAAAGTCCATGACTTTGCTCATTGTCTTGCAGTGGTTCTCTGTTTCAGCAGAGGGAAAAGCAAAGTCCTCACAGCAACCTGCAGACTCTGCACATTTGCATCACTCTGACTTCCTGACTGCTCCTCACTCCCTCCCTCTGCTCTGCCACACTGGGCTCCTGTGCACACACACACTCCCCCCTCCCTTACAGACTTTGCACTTCTACCTTCTTCTTCCTTCCAGATACTTCATAGCTCACTTTCTCCTCTCCTTTTCCCTGAATGCTATTCTGCCTGTGCTTTAAAAAATATTAACACTAACCTCCATCTTGGCTTTTGTTAGGCCCCATCCCCACCAACTCTTTTTATTGAGAGCACTTATTACTCTCTGATCTACTATATAATTTATTTATTGTGCTTTTGCTTGCTTTTTCTCATAGACCGTAAGCCATGTGGCAGGGAATTTTTTTTTCTCTTTTGTTCACAGATGTATTGCTGGTGTCTAGAATAGCCTGCTGTAGGAGCTCAAATACAAATATATTTGTGGAAGTGCAAGCCCTCGCCTTCCTGCTGCTCTGGGCATTGATCCCTCTACTTAAAAAAAAATTTTTTTTTAATTTCAGCATATTACACGGGTACAAATGACCAGGTTACATACATTGCCCTTGTCCCAACCAAGTCAGAGCTTCAAGGAAGTCCATCACCCAGACAGTGCACACCACATCCATTAGGTGTGAATATCCCCATCCCCTCCTCCCCTTCCCATCTGGGCATCTAACCAAAGGAACAAATGACACTCTATAAAAAAGACATCTGCATTCCAATGTTTGTGAATGTTTGTAGCAGCACAATTCACAATGGCAAAAATGTGGAAACAACCCAAGTGCCCATCATTACATGAGTGGATTAATAAAATGTGGTACTACTCAGCCACAAAAAACAATGGTGATGTAGCACCTCTTGTATTATCCTGGATAGAGCTGGAGCCCATTCTACTAAGTGAATTATCTCAGGAATGGAAAAACAAGCACCACATGTACTCACCAGAAAATTGGTATTAACTGACCAACAACACTTAAGTGTACATATAGTAATAATATGCATTGGATGTCAGGCAGGTAGGAGAGGGGAGGAGAGGATGGATATATTCACACCTAATGGGTGTGGTATGCACCGTCTGGGGGATGGACAGGCTTGAAGCTCTGACTCGGGAGGGGCAAAGGCAATATATGTAACCTAAACATTTGTACCCCCATAATATGATAGAAAAAAATTAAAAAAAATATTTTCTGAAAACATAGGTATGCCTACAAATTTCTCCAGGATCAGGAGAAACTTAGGGTCAAGAGAAACTTCTGTTTGGTTAGGCTCTGGGAGCTGTGGCTTGACCTCCTATTTGACTTGAGCGCCATCTTGTGGGAAGATCTCTTAAAGGCAAATTAAGCGATCAGTGATTGAGCTACAGAAATTATCATTAACCAGGTTTTCCTAATCTGAGCAGGGATTGGGGTATGTGGCGTGGTCCTGTAACTGATTATTCAATGGTCCTGAGAAGAGATCCTCAAATTTTTAAAACAGGGGGCCAGTTCATGGTCCCGCAGACTGTTGGAAGGCCATTGGATAGTGAGGTGCACATTCCACACATGCGCACTGTGGGCCCTGGACAAGTTGGCTGCTAAGCCCGACAGGCAGCTGGGGCAAAAACACCTGGCAGGCCAGATAAATGCCCTCAGCAGGCCATAGTTTGAGGACACCTGGTCCTGAGAATTGATCTTTATCCACACGTTTGTGATAGCACTGTCTTAGCTTATTTGCCAACAGCTGGGACAAATTTCCCAATTAAAATAACTTACTGTCAACTCTCTTATTAACAAGTTTTCCCCCTCCTGTCAGGTTTAGTCTTAGTCCCTCTATTTTTCTCTGAACGGTTTCAACAGTGTTGGCCTTCAGTTATTAGTTCTGAAGATGGTCCATTTTTCACCCTCCCCAAGTAGATATCAAGACATCTTAAATCTCGAGGCAATCCAGGTGCCAAAATTGCGGCTGCTGCCCCAGGAGCAGTCTTCAGCATCATCTGTTCCTGATTTTACTCACAATATTTCTATTTCTTCCCATAACCAGCAAAATTCTTCCACTTTATTGTACCTGTCATTGTAAATGTGGGTCCAATCAGTTTTTATGGGATAGATTGTTAAAGGTGCTCTTCTTACACAGTCTCACTTTCACCTACAGCATGTCACAGGTCCAGGACCACAGCCTGGCTCACTGGCTTCTGCTATTTGGAGGATGCTTTCTAAGGTCAGGGGACAGG